TTTTTTTTTTTTTTTTTTTGTTACCGATGGATTTCCAGATTGTCCACAGTCAGACACACATGGCTGTTTATGCGTGAGGGTTTTTCTCGGCCAGTGAAACATCCTGGTGCAGACTATTTACTGGAATTTACCAGCCTGTCAGTCATGCTGTATTTGAAGATAATAACAAGCACGGCTGTTCTTAGCTACCAGTGTCCGATAGTCCACCACAAACATTTTTGTCACGTCTCGTCAACGAAAATTTCACATAGATTTCATCTTAGTTTTTATGATCAAAATCTATTTTTAGCTTGTCATCATCTCGTTTTCGTCATGGAAAGAAGGTTGTTGACAAAAAAATTTCGTCAAAGAAATTAACACTGCATGGAGTTCGTAAAAATCATTGAAAGTTTTGGAGAAGTGGTTGCTTGTAATGCAGTTGTTTGCGTAATCTTTGATGGATAACATTCCCCGTAATGTAACATAACAGCAAATTTATTTTCTGTAACTGACGTTGTAATGTAGCTGTAATAAGAGTCAATGTCTGGCGTTTTGTTAACCATCATGTGTGTGTTTCTTTATTTTCTCCCTGTGTTCCATCTCTCCCTTCATGTACACCGACTAGCTGACATTATGTTTGAATATAGTTTGAATCTGATATGTTTGAAAAAAGCAGAGCAAGTTTGGAAAGAAAAAATATTTTAGGTCTTTGAAAAGTCATGGTTTGAAATTTAGTCCATGAAAATGTGGGGGAACTGAAGGTCTCTGTTTAGGGCTTCCAAAACAGCGGAGTAGCATAGAGGCTAGGTGTAAACATAGAAACAGTTCTGTGTTTTAAAAAGAAAACATATTAGTGTGGACGTAGCCTGAGACCTAACAGGGTTTGACATGTAAGCTGAAGTGTAAACAAATAGAGGAGTTGATGTGTAAGATGGACAGTTGTGACTGAAACAGCTTGAAATGTAAGTTTAAGAATAAGAGATGATAATAAATATATTAAACGTAATTTATCACATTAAAATAGAATGTGTTTGCAGCGTAAAGAGATGGTGAACGACCTGGACGGGCCGTACAGGAAGACGTTCACCCCTGAGAACCTGTCTGCATTCAGCTGGGATAAGTCTACTTCCTGGGCTGAGGAGAAGGCTCCTCTAACTGTGGCCTGTCTCAGGTCCATGTTCCCCCCCGCCAAAAAGACCCAGAAACAGATCGTAAACTACAGCCCAGGGAATAAACCACGGTGGGTCCAAACTGCGCTGGTCTAAAGACGGACCTGGTTCTGATATTTGTTAAACTCCAGGATGATAAATGTAAGTGAGTGTTTTCCTGTTTCAGGCGGATGACTGAGGAGGAGGTGAAGCAGATGTTGGACCGAAGGATCAGCCTCCTCCTCTCCGTGCCTCTGTACACCAGCACACTCAGAACCTGTTTCCTTCAGACAGCGTTCAGCGTGGAGATGCTCCGACACCGCTGTCCCATCAAACTCTTCACCATCACCAACAGCCTCGGCATCTCGCAGTGCAAAACCTCCGCCAGGATCCACGCCAAGAAACTTGCCGAGGAGCACGACCGACAGGTGAAGCAGTGGAGAGACGAGATCCAGGTGAGGAACCATGTCCTTCAGTTTCAGTGTCACATGTTCTCCGCACAGTTTGACTTCAGTCAGTTTCTTTAAGTGAAGTTTGATCCCTTTTATTTAAAGACGATATTTTAATGATTTAAACGAACTGAGCTGTGTGATGACAAGTCTTCGTGTGGTTCTGCAGAATTAGTTTTATATTTATTTGTATTTTTAATACATGTCCGTCACAGAGGAGATTCATCACATTTCCTTTTTTTTACTTCTAGACGACCAAAAAGACGCAGTACCGCAGTGAAGACTCCAAAAAGGCAACAGCTTACACTTTCAGCTGGGGGAAAGTTCGGGTAACGTGACTTCTGACATAAAACCTTTGTCCTAAAACCATCTGTTATCTTTCACTGAGGAAATAAAAGTTCTGCTGCTGCAGGTACCGTCTGTGTCCAGGTCCGACTCCACAGATCGAGGATACACCTTTGTGACGTGGGCATTTCGCTTCGCTCATCAAGTTCGGGTTAATTTTCGTTACCTGCACGGACTTCCAGTAAAAGCAGTGGAAGTGTCTCCTTACAGAATCCTACCGTCCAAACAGGTACTAAGTCTTGACAGGAACAAATCAGTGTGTCTGCAGCATTTTTCAAATTCAGTTTCCCACAGAATTACAGTGTATGTGTGGTGGTAGCTGACTATGGTGGGGTCGGGGAGGTGGGGGTAGGCAACAACAGCAAACTTCCATGTTTTGTTTTGTTGTTTTAAATTCCTGTGTGTCCCTTTGTATCATTCTGTGAGCTGTCTCTAACTTCAGAGATTTTTGTGGGTCCATGAACGCAGCACAGGCAGAGCTCTCCATGAGTTCTTCACTTCCTCAGCAGCAGTTTGTGACTTGTGGGGTGGGTAATCAGATTGATGGATGAGAGGAGCAGCTGCTGCGAGTGACTGCAAACTTCAAAGCCCAGTTCAGACCAAAGATTCACAATGAGACAAAATGGTTTTGGAACGATTGAGAGAAAAGTAGTAGCGGTGTGAACTGGCCGGTCTGAGCTTGACTCAAGTCGGCCGACAGTGTCACCTGCAACTCAGCTGGTCGAATCGCCGGCGGCTGGTTTTAAAGCATGTCACCTGTTTCAACAGCCAGTCAGCTTGTAGAAAAGTCCCCTGGTCAAGTCAAAATGACAGCAGACAGCTCCCTCTGTTTCCGTCCTCACGGTGTGCCGGTGTCGGACGGTGGGTCCCTGCTGCTGCTGGCTGTATGTGCTTATGCCCCGCCCACACACACACATTCTCATTGACTGATTGATTGGCACTGGTTATTTATATTATTGTGGTGTATTAATTATGAATACAGTCCATCTGATGGTGGTTTTGTTTCATCATTGTAGACAGTATCTCACTATCACTATCCTCATTCATATTTGAAGAAGCTACAAATTATATTCAGTAGGGGTGTAACGGTACACAAAAATCTCTGTTCGGTACGTACCTCGGTACACAAGTCTCGGTTCGATTTTTTTCGGTACAGTAATGAAAAAAATAGACAACTATTAAATATCTTTTACTTATTGGTAACCTTATTAAAACATACCACCACAGCAGTTAACTCTTTTTACACAATTTTTGAATTAAACAAATATATATAAAATCCTGCTTTTTCACAGTTTGAATGAAAATAGAAATATAAAAGTGAAAAATAAAATCCTGCTGTTTTTTTAACACATTTTTTTAATGAAAAATATAAATATAAATTTCTGCTTAAACAGTTCTACTCAGTTAAAATAAAAAGTATAGAGCAGCTGGTCAGCTTTAAAGCCTGCTCAGATTCAGTTTTACTAGGAACTTACTTAGCTTTCCCACTTTGTTAAAGTGCAGTAAACAAAACATGCTCATATCTAAAGTGCAGCTTAAACAATTTTACTCAACTCCAATGGCGTTGGTCATTTCTTTAGCGCGATGGTCAGGGAAACGCTCTTTCTTTTTAAACGACGATGATATCGTAGTTTGCACCAGATTGCTTTTTCTAGTCGTGCCGGTTAACATTCAAACTCGGGTGGTGTCACTTTAGATGCGTTAGCATGTTAGACGTGTTTCCAAGTACATACCCGACCGCTGTTCTGCAGTGTCGGCACACTGCTTTTGTCTTGTCCACTTGTTTATTTCCATCTTCGTATTTTACCCTGAAACCAAAGTGTTCCCAAACGGAGGACTTAAGGTTTGCGGGTGGGTCTTCAGGTTCGTCAGGCTCACTTGCCATGTTGTCAAAATGCGAGTATGCGCTGCACAAAGTGAAAGCAGAGATTTATGGGACTCGGTCCGTCACTCAATTATGCCCGTCGGGGAACTAGATATTTTAAATGGAATTAAAATAAAACAAAATAAAATAAAATAATATCCTGCGCCCAATAATTTGGTACAGGGTCGTGCCGAACCGAAAGTCGTGTACCGAACGGTTCAACACAAATACATGTACCGTTACAGCCCTAGTATTCAGCCACAAAATAAGTCTGAAAAGCTGCAAATCAGAACGGAAGTACAGGCAGGCTGCCACAAATAAATGGGTGTGGGAAACCCTGAAATTAATACTATTAAGTGTACGATTCTTTATTGTTTTCTACGATTTGAGGCAACTGATGTTTCCATACGTTTCTGTTGAGTATTAAAATCCATTACCATTATCATTAACAACCCAGCTGTGTCTCCTCACAGTGAACAAGTCTGCATTCAGAATTTCTGTCTCAATAAGTTTGTTTCTGTGACTCAGTTAGGACGTTTTTATGGCACTTTTACGGTTTCATCGTTTTTGTTTTGTGTTTTCCTGTTGAAAACAGTGTGACCGCGCCATCTAGTGGACAAACTCTGCAACAGCAGCTCTGTTTCTATTTGACTTCAAACCTAGTGCACTATGACTGATTACAAAACTCAGCAAAGAGTCAAACAGAATTTTATATCACATAGAAATTAAAAAACAGGAAATGGTCCTTTAAACGTCACATAATCATCACAATAAAAACATCATTAACTCTTTCCTTAGGCATACGAGTCGCTACGACAGCGAATGAAAATATTAGTGATGCGAATCATCGCCGACAACCTGACAGCCCTGAAAGGACCAAGAGGACGAGTGATGAGACACGTCCCTCACATCTACTCCATCCTGATGAAGGAGGAGAGCACCACAGTGAGTCCCACCTGTCTGCACCTGCTCAGGTGTCTCTGATGTCTCAGTACATTAATGTCCCTTAAACTGTCCTGATTGGTCCGTTTGTTTCCCCTCAGGTGAGTCTGGGTGCTGTGATACCGAACACCGCAGAGGAGTCTGTTAGCTCAGCGTACGGCCTTAAAGACTACATCCCTGTGGTTTCTGGGACACCGCACCACATCCTGTGCTGTGGGGACGTCCTCGGCACTGACAGGACGGAGCACGGCAACAAAACACAGAGCACTGACACTCCAAACCTGAACCCTGACCTGAAGTTTGATGGACTCGTAGAAGCTCCACAAGAGTTTCAGAAGGAACACCTGTTCCACGAGGTGAGAAACCTTTATCGTTGTAGAACAATAAACACAGTCAGCAGTTTGTGATGAAACAAAGGCAGCTTCATTATTTTAGAGTGTCTTGGCTGCAGGTATCAAAACAAGTTAGTGTTATCAAGTTTGCATTTTAAGCTAACTCAGTAACTATTCAGATCACCTGGGTCCAGCTGCTTCACAGTAATTAAAGCAGGTGTGTGTGTGTGGTGTGAACTGTGTTGCCTGATAACTTTTTTTTTTTTTTTTTTTCAGGAAATGTTAAAGATGCTTCTCAGTGAAAAGAGTGAGAACGCTCGAGGAACTCTTCATCACATCGTCTCACTGTTTCACTTCAAGACGTTCAACAACACCGCCAAAGACTACTTCCTGAACATCTGGGACTTCATCACGGTGAGACTCTGACAATGTAAACTTAAAATGTAAACACACTGATAGTTCTGATTTACCACATTCACCATAATATTCTGTCACCAACCAAACAATATATATTTTAAAGTTTGTGACGACAGCGTACGTGACTCTGTTTGCTGTGACGGACTGTGGTCTGGACTCAGTGGACCAGAAACCATCAGACTACCCCTCTCAGGTCTCAGCTCAGATGGACTGGCTGAGTCAACTGGCTCACAGACTGGTGGATCTGGTGTGGATGCCTCCACCTCAGGAGGACATCAATACTGCAGCTGCTGCAGCTGAAAGTCACTGTGACGGAGAGAAGAAGAAAACTTCCCCCTTCTGTTACTGCAGAGAAGGTACGAACCCTGCTGGAGTCAGAAACAGGTTTAAATACAACTCTGAGCATCCATCTGTCTTTAACAGCATGTCATGTGTCCTTGTGGTTGTAGAGAAACCAGGTGAGCAGCTGGTGCGGTGCTGCAGTAACCTGTGTCCAGGTATCTGGTTCCATGAAGGCTGTGCTCGGGCTCAGACGCTCTCAGACCCACGTGAGGAGGACTGGTTCTGTGGTCCAGACTGCAGTGCAGATGGAACCTACGTGTACTGTCACTGTAAGGAGCAGAAGGGGGGACAGATGGTCCAGTGTGGACTGATGGACAAGTGCAGGAGACACGAGTGGTACCACAGAGACTGTCTGACAGCCGCCGAGCAGACCAGAGCCCAGCAGAGTGAGACTCTCATTCATTCATAGTCAGATCAGATTAAGTTTATACTGAAAGACACTTAAACAAAGTTTCATGTTGGAGTTTGTTTCGTTCTAAATTTTGACAGTACAATTTTTTTTTTTTTTTAAATAATCACAGCTAAGATATCTGAACATGATGGTCTCATGTTTGCGTTCCAGCTCCGTGGTTCTGCTCAGAGTCCTGCTCCATGGCATCTGACGGCGAGGACTTCCTGTTAAACTACACAAGGGCAGTGGTGTGGGAGGGGCTGTACCACATGGCCCGACGGGACGCCATCCAGGAGGGAGACGGAGAGGCTATGACAGACTTCTGGAAGATGGACCTGGTTCTGCTGTGGACCAGACAACACCTGCAGCTCTTTAACAGCGGCCACCAGATGATCACAGGTACAAGTCAGAGACGGTCACACAGCTGGTTGGTCAGTGTCATAAAGCTGCACCAACTGTAGGCTTGAAGGGTGGGGCTACATTCATCATCCAAAAATGTTTATGAATAATCTTGTCAGTGATGAAAAGTCAGAGCGTCAGTTCATGACTGTGAACATGCTCAGCTCTGCTTTAGCATGACTCTCTGAGTAAGAATTGTTTCAATAAATATTATTATGCAAATCATCAGCATCTCAGAGACGTGTAGCTCCTCCTACACAGAGATAAAGTTCGTCCCCTTCCTGTGTCCACCATGGAACCTTATTTTGGAAGAAATATGTACAGCCATGAACGACAAGAGATCTGTTGATCCTGTTTAAACTGTAGCATTTATTACACATATGATGTTTGTCAATTTTAGATATTTCTGTGAGTCAAGAAAGTCGCAGTTTGTCATATTTAGTTTTGTGTTAAACCTCTGAGTGAACTACATCTCTCGTCTCACATGATATACGTCACCAACTTGGCCGTTACCTCGGCACAATTCAGTTGATAGTTAGAAACTTAACTTGGTTCCACTCACACATACTAATTTTTTCAGATGTTTAAAGGTACATAACTTTGCCAAGCAAACACTGCATCCTTCCCTAACTTCCGAATCAGTTCGCCAGTTGAAACTATATTTCTGTCAAACCCACTGATCAAAGGAGGCACCTCTGTTATTTATAACTCACTGTTGTGTTTAGATTGTTCCGCCCCCCCTGGATTGTTTAAAGGTAGCCTGGGCAAATGTTTTGGGGCTGCTGTTTTGGAGGAGTCATGGACAAAAGCCATGGACTTTGCTATTTAAAATATTGTACAGGCTTCACTCATTTAAAAATATGCTCTGTAAAATGTATCCAAATATCAGTCCAGCGTGCGACCATTGTAAGCCGTCACCAGCCTCACTAGCCCATATGCTCTGGCGCTGCCCGAGAGTCACAACGTGTTGGCAAAATATTTTTCAGTCACTATCAGACGTCCTGGGTCGACCTGTGGATCCTGATCCACTGACCGCACTCTTTGGTTTTAAAGGTTCTGATCTTGTGTTAACCAGCTCCCAACATAACATGATGTTATTTGTATCCCTATTACGACGTAGATTGATATTCTTATTCCTATTGATCTTTTGTCAGCCGAGAAGTGAAAGACTGAGAAGGAACCATTGTTTCTCGCGTGAGCAGCAGATCCCAGGACGAGACTGGGACAAGCTGTCATTGTAACTTTACCCAGAGAGAAAGCTCTGACGTCACTTTCACAACTTGTGTAGTTTTTCTAATTAAGTATAGGACTGAAAATACTTCAGTTTTACAGCAAACTGTGACTTTATTCACTTGCAAAACTATCTTTTAAGTTGACAAACATCAGGTGCGTGGATCATGGCTAAATTCAAACAGGATTAAAAAATGATTTGTGTCTTTCTGTTGACTGTCAAACATATTGTCAGAAAAAATGTCCCATGGTCTTCCGGAGGGAGAGGGGCTTCACCTCTCTACTCTCAGTGTGACTATAACATCACATTGTCATGGCTGTTGTCATGGTTACCATGTTTCTGAACAGGGATCGAGGGGTTCTACCCAGAGCGTGTCAGACAGGACATGAAGTGGAACCGAGTGTTGAATCTTCAGGGAACATCAGGAGGAAACGTCAGTGTGGATCTCCTCACTGAGCTCATGATCAACGAGTTCAAAGGTAAGCTCACGTTATTATTATTATTATTATTATTATTATAATAGATTCATGTTTCATAAAAACAGACACAGTTTAGACATGAATCTGGCATTTGCGTTGTGGGTTCTGCCATGTTGAGGTGCTGCCATTAGTGTGGTGCCAAGTCCCACTGTCCTTCCCTCACTTTAAATGACTTTTGTCCTGTCAGGTGTGACTTCCTGTGTTTGACTTCCTGTCCCCTCAGGTGTGATAGAGTTCGGTAAAGGCAGCTTCACGAGGCAGCAGGTGGAGCAGAGCGCTCAGCTGGCCGGAGCTCAGGCCAAACACCTGGACAGACTCTTCTTCACAGGAGGAAACCCTCTGAACCTGTCCACCTACCTGTCCCGGCTGACATCCTCATCCTGCAGGAGGACGGACGACGTGTCCAAGTTTGTGGACGAGTTTAAGAAGGACGAGTTGTTCGCCTTTAAAGCAGGAAGAAAACATCAGGGCTTCAACAAGTTCAGCTACCAGCAGAGGGTGAGGAGCCCCAAGAGGATGGGGAGGAGCATCAGGAGTCTGTGTGAGGAGCTTGACCGACGGAGAGACAACATTCTCTGAGAGCTGTCCACAGGTCAGTCACATGACAATGTGACATCATAGTATGAACACATAACATGCTTCTCAAAGTCAAGGATGCTTCCTTGGTAGGATGGGTCCGACAGACTCCGTTCTACGTTCAGAGCACACATGATGGAACAGTCTTGTGAGTGTGCAGGTGTGCGTCATTAAAAAGGTCCCGTCTTCACTTCTGAGCTACAAGTTCAAACCAAGCGGCAAAATCCAGGGCTGAAAAATAAAGCCAGTGTTGAAGTGCCAAAATCTGCAGTTCTTTCAATGACCACTTGAGGCTGGCTCCAGAAGCCGGTCAGTCCTTGTAGACCCCCATGTTAAAATGCTCAACTTTACAGCAGAGATAAACAGTCGACCAGACAGGTCATTAGTCAGCAAGATTTCACTGGTCGCTTAGTCGCAGAAAAAACAAGAAAAAAAGTAAAACTATCAGGAGCTGCACCTTGTCAAAATAAATCCAAACCTATATGACTGGACCATGTGGGAATTTAATTTGAAAGGACAGACACAGGAAGTGTCCACGCTCAGCAGTCAGACAGGAGTCAGGTTAATTTCCAGGGCTGGTACCTGCAGTTATTCCACAGGCTAGTTAATAACATGTCGGGCAGGAAATCCGAAGTGTGGGATCATTGCAGTTTTTGTCACTTCCATGTTGGCTTCATATTTCCTCTTTGGAGGGTGCCGCTCAGATTGGTGACGTAGCATCCTTAAAAAGTAGCTGTGAAATGATCCTTCTTTGACTACGAGTAGCGCCCACAGAGAGCACAGCAGCTGTCATACAGACCACAGTGGTGCAGGTCAGGAGGTCAAAATACTTTATTTTTTGTAGACAGTGATTAGGATAAACTTACCCTCCTACATAATGATAACTTTGTTTCTAATTTTGTAAATAAGTAAAGACTTTATTAATAAAAACATGTTCATTGATTTATTTTTCTGACCTGCAGCAGCTGAAAAGAGACGACTGACGGGGAGGATTTATGAGTTGTGTTTTTGTAAATATTACAAGTTTTCATTTTATTTTGACCACTTTAATAATATTTTGTGTGACTTCCTGTTTTTCAACATCCTGAGCTGCAGAACAAATAAAAAGTTTTAAGCAGACTTTAGAGTTCTGGGTTTTTTTGTGTGAAATGTCGGTCATGTGACACCGGAGTAAAATATCACCACAGAATTAAATACTGCCTCATATTTACTGCAATCGTAGAACAGTAACTTTTGTCTTACGTGAAGTAAAATTACTGTGTTTGTCAGTAGAGTCTGGTGGCTTTGAGACAACTGCAGTTCACTTAAACTGATATTGACTATTTTAGGTGGATAGAAACTTGCCAACTGAGGCAGCATTTGTTCAGTGTTGTTTTGTTTTATGTACGTGACACAGAGGTTTTCTACCCAGAAGTTATTGTAAACAAACACTGTGATTTGGTCTATAAAGTCAGTCTTCAGCATCTGCAGATGAAGCCATCTGAGCATGCTCAGTAGTGTGAACTCACCGAGTGCTTCGTTCATCCATGAAATGTGAGGCTCCACGTCGTCTGTGAGCTCAGGCAGCTCCTCCAGCAGGTTAGAGCACTGCTTCTGAACATACAGCACTCCACTCTGCTGCACCTGCATCACACACACACATTGTATAAATCACTCCTATGCAAATGCAAAAGACTCCACATGTGGTTACTTAAAGGTCCAGTGTGCAGGATTTAGGATGATGTAATTGGCAAAAGTGGAATATAATATAATCCACAGTATGTACTCAGTACTCAGTGTTGGTCCTGCAGCAGCAGCATGTCTCTCACCTTCCCCTCGATGATGTCGAGCACAGAAGAAAAGTCCATCTGTCTCTCCTCTGGCATCACGAAGCGGTCACCGTTAACTGCGTCAGCGTAACCGTTAGGAGTCACCGCCACGCTGATGACCTTTGACCCCACCTTCTCTCTGCACACAGCAAACAGGAAGCTGAGGTCACGTACTGGTCTTCACTGTCTCAGAGATTAAAAACTATAGATGTGACCACAGAAGAAGAGTGGTGCAGGTGTGTGCGCGTGTGTCTGTGTGTGCGAGCAGGTGGACATGGCTTCCTCACCTCAGGTACTCCGGTGTCCATCTGGACAGAGCCGGCCAATGACTGAAGGCGTTACGGATGATGCAGGGCTTGTTTGGACCAATCCAGTCGCGGTAGAACTGCAGTGGGTCAGGTGGCTCCTCCAGGTAAGGCACCGAATGGTTCAGATACAGATCTAAGAGGTAATCAATAAACAATCAGAATGATTGATCTGCTGACTCAAACTGGTAGTAATACCAGTCAGTGGCAGCAGTAGTATTAGTGATTAGTGTCCCCTTAAAAATTAGTATAACTTTAAAAAAATAAATAATCTAGCTGACCTACAGTAGTACTAACAGTAGTACCTGTGCTTGTCACTGAAGTGGTAAAAAGTAGTAATACTTAGTACTAAACCACTACTGGACAACTTATAGCTATACTACTACCACTGGTTATAGTACTACTAATGGTAGGAGAAGCAGTAAAGGTAATACTGCAGGTGTATCAGTAGTTTGAGTAACTGTAGCAGTGGTGGTGGTTACTGTAGTTGCAACAGTAGTATTAATTGAAATACTAGCAGCAGCAGCAGCAGCAGCAGCAGTAGTGGTAGTAGTAGTAGCAATTGCTGTAACAGTAATAGTAGTAGTACCACCAGTATCAGCAGTACCACATTACCAGGAGCAGCAGCAGAAGTTGTAGCCTTGATGCACTACAGTACTGGCAGCAGTGGTAGTTGTAGTATCTGCAGTAGTACTACAGTACCAGCTGTAGTAGAACTACCATCAGCAGCAGCAATACAGCACCAGTAGTAGTATCAGCAGTAGTACTACAATAGTAGTAGTACTAATAGTTGTAGAAGTAATACAATGGATGTAGCAGTGGTGGGGTTATTGTAGTAGCAACAAGTATACAAGTATAGTATGGTTATAGTAGTAACAATAGCATTTATTGTAATGCTAGCAGTACCAGCAATAGTAGTTGTAGTGGTTGTTGTGGCAGTAATAATAGTAGCACCACCAGTATCAGTAGGTCTACAGTACCAGGAGCAGCAGTAGTAGTAGCAGCAGCCTTGTAGCACTACAGTACTGGCAGCAGTAGTAGAACTACAATAGTAGCAGTACCAATAGTTGTAGAAGTTATACTATGGATGTAGCAGCAATAGCAGTTATGCAGTTATAGTATAGTTATAGTAGTAACAGTAGTATTAGTTGTAATACTAGCTACCAGTAGTAGCAGTAATAGTAGTAGTGCTACCAATACCAGTAATACTACAGTAGCAGCAGTACTATTGGTAGAAGTAATACTGTAGGTGTATCAGTAGTTTGAGTAACTGTAGTGATGGTTACTGTAGTGGCAACAGTAGTTGTTATACAGTAGTAGTAGTAGTAATTCTAATACTAGCAGTACCAGTAGTAGTAGTAATAGTGATTGGGACTCCGAATGTGAATTAGCGTTGCGCTAACTTCGGCACATTTACACTGTTTTTACTGTTGTTCATTAATGTGCATTGTCCCTTTTAAATAAAGAAATAAATAAATTGTTGTAGCAATAATAATAGTAGTACCACCAGTATCAGTAGGTCTACATTAGCAGGAGCAGCACTAATAGTTGGAGAAGTGATACTATGGATGTAGCAGTGGTGGGGGTTACTATAGTAGCAAAATAGCAGGTGTAGTATAGTTATAGTAGTAACAGTAGTATTACTTGTGAACTATTATCAACATTAGTAGTTGTAGTAGCTTAGTAGTACTAGCCGTAGTACTACAGTACCAATAGTACCATCAGTAGTAGAAGTAATACTGTTGGTTGTAGTAGTAGTAGTGGTTGTTATTGTAGTGACAACAACAGCAGTCATGCAGTTATAGTATAGTTATAGTAGCAATAGTAGTATTAGTTGTAATACTAGCTACCAGTAGTAGTAGTAGTACCACCAGTATCAGTAGTACTACAATATCAGGAGCAGTACTAATAGTAGAATCAGCAGTAGTACTACAGTAGCAGCAGTAATGTTACTCGTCTCTCACCGTGAGCCTCCAGTGAAAACTCAGTCAGTCGTTCTTTCACAGACTCCATTTTGTTTCTCCGTCATCACAAACAAACAACCGGAAGTCCGCCACAGAGACAACATCAGATATCTGATCAAATATCGATTAAATGATCACTGATAACCGATAAAGTCTGCTGCTGTCAGATCTCTCCCAATTTCACGGTGCCATGCTGCTTTGTTTACGTCCGGTGCGCATGCGCGGAGCTCCGTTCCTGTAGTGATTGAGGTGAGCAGGTTTCCCCCTGCAGGAGGGAGGATGAACTGCAGCCGACACGGATCACTCACTGACTGAGGATGATGATAAATGTAATAATTATAAATACAATAAATATTTCAGTATTTTTTATGTTTAATATAAATATTACATGTATCTGTCTTTATTTAATATACATGTAGAATATTTCCATCTGATTAACTGATGTAAAACACATTTCACTCAGTGGAAACACCAGAGAGCTTTAATGAAGAGCAACTGATGTGATCAAAGTGTGGAGAAAAGTGTTATAGAGACGTTTAAAGATTAACTGTACATTACATTTATTTTTTACACTGCATGGTTTTTCTGTCACCTTGTCTTTATTGTATTTTACACATTTTTATTTAACTTTTTTTTTTATCATTTTGTTTACATTTTAAAATGGTCTCTCTACATACAGCTTATGGTCATTAGACCCATGTTAATATGTGTACTTGCCTTATTGGAACACACAGTGTGTTTCCCTGCAGGTGCTGATGAACTCAGGATTGGATGCAGCTGTGCAGCTCTCAGCCTGGATCCAGGTCCTGGAAAGTCCTGAATCAGGTCTCATGGTTCTTCACTCATGGATGAGTCGGCGTTGGAGCGTTACTTTGATGACTCCATTGCAAATGTGAGTACAGACTGTCGACTCCTCTCACTCTGTTTCACATCCAAAACTTTATTTAAAATAAGTTACTGTTTAGGTCGTCAGTGAGTTTTCACATGTGAAGTGAATTTGTCTCATCTATGAAGCAGAGCTTTTTGAGTTGAAGTGACCTGCAGTCTGAATTTTCTGAGTATAAAAACATCAAATATTTTTCCCAGATTTTTGTTGCTAGAAAACATTTCACAAATTAACATCTCACCTTGTTTGACATGTTAATTTTATTATAATCTTTTTGTTTAACATAAACAATTACAGTTAATGTGGTAAATCAAAGAAAAAAAAACTAACGAGCTCTGAACTCGTGTGGATTTTCACATGTCAAGTTTTAGTGCAGAAAACTAAAATAAATCACCATAAACATTTTTAGACGAGCAGCTTCCTCTGAGGTCATGTTTCTGTTTGACTGACATTCTTACGTCACAGTTATGTCAATTTGGTTCAAATTTACGAGCTAATTCTGATGTTTTTAAACTCAGTTTGTTGCAGTTTGTTTAACAGAATGGTTGAACACACTTGACAAAGGTCCAGTAGGACCGAAAGACTCAAGATATAGTTTCCACGCACCTGACAGTTGGATGTGCAAATATGTCTTTTCAAACAAACAGACTCAATTTGACCACTTTAGGTTAGTAAAATACAGAAAACAGCTTTTATATATTAAACACTGACCCCAGTGTGACCCCACCCTGAAAAATGTTTGACCAGCCACCCAAAAATATCTGCACTTTTTTTTTTGTTCCACATTATCTTTATTACTTCAACTGCTAATATAAATAATCTACACAGTGTCCTAAATTCTGTTTCAGAGCCTTTCCTGAGATTTCCTTCTCTTTTAGTAAAATCCTAAATGATTGAGTTGTTTTTTTTTTCCACCTGGACCTTTATGCTCTGCCATTTCTCCTCTAATCATCACGCCGTAACAGGCTGTTATGATACCACAACTATCACACGTTCACATACGTGTTGTTTTTTTGTGGAGCTGCGAACGTCACATAGGTTTATATTACCATAGTTTATGACAAAATCATATGACGATACCGACTCCTGTGAGCGCACGGCGACAGAGGAGAGGGAAAGACTCTGTGCTGCTGCCAGAGGAGCCGCTGAATGAGTTCCCTCTGAGCGGTAAGTCACCAAAAGAGTCTGAGAAGTCCGGGGCTGTTCATAAGACATTCAGGACGCCACAGTTTATTCCACACTACTGAAGCTGCTCCTCTTTTTGGAACCACTGTGGAGTCTGTAATAACTTTGCTTTCAGGCATGCTTGTTGTTGCCGTGGGTAACAGTATGATGTAAACAAATCAAAATATCGGGGTATCACAATATAAATTTTTCACATCATATTAAGAGTTATACCAGTATTATTGTGAATGAGATGATATGGCACACTCCTGATTGATAGATTATTATTTTAATAATCCCTCCAGAAAGTTTATGTGTCACTGCAGCACGATACAGAAGAAGTCAGTTATAAAAATAAAACACTGAATAAGGATTAATAATTTTTTTTCTTTCTGCAGGACTCCGGCTTCATTTTGGGGGAGGAGCTGCCCCTCCAGAGCCATGCCTCTTCCCCATTGGTGAAGGCAGGGCCAAGCGGGGAGCTGGGGGAGGAGCTCGACCTCAGCTTCCTACCTGATGACCTCAGCACGCAGGATGAGCCGAGTCGTCATGACGACACAGGTATTACATCATTGATGATGATAATGATGACGAAACCGATGAATTCCTTTGGAGAAACAAACTGTATCTTTGTTAAACCAATAAAATATTATAATATGAAACAGATGTGTTTGTGTACAGAATATATTTATATATAAAAACAGAGTGAATGGTGGGCGTGGCCTCTGTGAGGTCACATGAAACAGGTTAACTCTGTCATGTTTCAGCTGGCAGTCAGTCTGCAGCTCTGGACCTGTCTCAGGACAGCGCCGTCGGTCTGGACTACAATCCCAAGGTTGCCACAGCAGCAGCAGCAGCTGGCCCCCAACAGGGGACGTCCATGTCCGGGCTGGTTGCCTCCCCCTTCTGTCCCATGACGCCTATGACCCCCATGACCCCCGTGACCCCTGTGACTGAGAGGTCAGGAATCATCCCACAGTTACAGTAAGTTACTGATGACTCCAGAAACATAATACTGATACTTCATCTGTACCTGCAATTTTAAAGGGAAATTTCGGTTCAACCCGTCTCCTATCGTCCTAAATTTGTTTCAAGTGACTAGTGACATAAAAATAATAGTTAGCATGTTAGCCGTTAGCCTAGATACAGCCGGGGCGCATAGTAGCGTCAGACCTGTTAAAACGTAAGTGAACGGGCAACCTTCAAGTGCAAAGTTAGTCCACTAAACAAGCTTTTTTTCTACAAAGACCGCCTCATATCGTTAGGATAAATGTCAGAGAACATATAGAAAACGACATGTAAACGTGTTGTCTTACCTTACCGGTGTGCTGCCATGTTTGTTTACCATCTAGCTCTGCTTTCCAAAGTGCGGCCGAAATATCGCGAGAACAAGCAGCGATCTCATACCGTGCCTGAACAAGCAGCAACAGCTGGAAGGCAGAACCGGACAGTAGCCTGAAAAGTTCATTCATTTATTTTATGAAAGATTTATAGAATAATGGCTGACTTTTTGCCAGACTTCGACTTTGTGGAGGAGGAATTTTATTTTGCAGAGTTTGATGGCCGCCCTTATTTACCACTCTCTGGAGATTGGTGGTGTACCTGTGAATGCTGTGCCCCAGTGCCCACAGAAGAGGAATGCCTCTGTTGCAAGGAATGGGACCAGTTGCAGCCTTATTTTCAAGATCTGGATGTGACCGAGGACGAGACACCTCCACCTGGAGTAGTATCCAGCTGGGCTTTATCTAGAGCTCGCGAGATATATTTCAGCCACGCTTTGGAAAGCAGAGCTAGATGGTAAACAAACATGGCAGCACACCGGTAAGGTAAGACAACACGTTTACATGTCATTTTTTATACGTTCTCTGACATTTATCCTAACGATATGAGGCGGTCTTTGTGGAAAAAAGCTTGTTTAGTGGACTAACTTTGCACTTGAAGGTTGCCCGTTCACTTACGTTTTAACAGGTCTGACGCTACTATGCGCCCCGGCTGTATCTAGGCTAACGGCTAACATGATAACTATTATTTCTATGTCACTAGTCACTTGAAACAAATTTAGGACGATAGGAGACAGGTTGAAATAAACTGAAATTTCCCTTTAAGTGTTAATCTGCTGTGTTCCCTGTGTGTGCAGGAACATCGTCTCCACAGTGAACCTGGGTTGTCCTCTGGACCTGAAGTTTATCGCTCTACAAGCCAGAAATGCAGAGTACAACCCAAAGGTACGGACTTCTTTAAACGCCTCATCTGATTTTAATACATTTGCTTATGTCACAGAGATAGCATCAGGTTCTGAAGTAACTAGTTTTTAAAACTGTGTTGGTATAAGTAAATACATAATTAAATATATAAGAAAATAAATGAATAAATTAGTTTAGCATTAGCACAGGTATGGTTCGGTAGGGTTAGGCTATGGGTAGCATGTAGGTCTGGTTAGCTTTTAAGTCCAGTGAGCTTTTAGATACAGTTAGCTTTTGGGTACTGTCAGCTTGTAGGTCTGGTTAGCGTTTAGGTACAGTTAGCATTTGGGTACCGTTAGCTTGTAGGTCCGGTGAGCTTTTAGGTAACGTTACAGTTAGCTTTTGGGTTAGGGTTAGCTTGTAGGTCTGGTTAGCTTTTGTTTAGGTTAAGCTTTTAAGCCTGGTAAGCTTTTAGGTAAGGTTAGCTTTTGGGTACGGTTAGCTTTCAAGTACAGGTAGTATGTAGGTTTGATTAGCTTTTAGGTACAGTTAGCTTTCGAGTACAGGTAGTATGTAGGTTTGATTAGCTTTTACACAGGTTTAGCTTGTAAGTCTGGTGAGCTTTTAGGTACAGTTAGCATTTGGGTATGATTAATTTGTGGTATGGTTAGCATTCAGGTAGAGTTAGCTTAGAAGTAGCGATTAGCTATGATTAGCCATTAGGTCCAGTTACAGTTAGTATAAATAAAATGTAAACGCGGACTGATGAATGAAGTAACAAGTTTAGTCGTGTTATTTCAGCGATTTGCAGCGGTCATCATGAGGATCAGAGAACCTCGAACCACTGCGCTGATCTTCAGCTCCGGGAAGATGGTCTGCACAGGAGCCAAAAGTGAGGAGCAGTCACGTCTGGCAGCCAGGAAGTACGCTCGGGTGGTGCAGAAACTCGGTTTCTCTGCCCGCTTCTTGGACTTTAAGATCCAGAACATGGTGGCCAGCTGCGATGTCTGCTTCCCCATCAGACTGGAGGGACTGGTCTTGACACACCAACAGTTCAGCAGGTAGAGACACAGCAACAGTTTAGCAGGTAGCTCTCAGTTCCTGTTAGCTTGGAGTTAGCTTAGCATTAGCCTCTAGGTTCTGTTAGCCTCTAGTTTCTGTTAGCTTAGAGTTAGCATCTGGTTTTGTATCATCTAAAATGAATTACATATTCAGAGTTCAGTACGGAGGTACACAGTAATTAGAAAACATTTACATGACAATCTTTTTACTTTTTTAAATAATTGAAAAACATTGAAATGTATATTTAGTTGAATGAAATTACTTCTGAATTGAGCCACTTTATTATGATGGATTATTGTAATTACCAGAAGGATAAAAAAATCTTTATTTAAACTGTTGTCTCCACAGTTATGAACCAGAGCTGTTTCCAGGCCTCATCTACCGAATGGTGAAGCCTCGCATCGTACTGCTAATCTTTGTGTCGGGGAAAGTGGTTCTGACTGGTAATGAAACTCAAATGTCTTAATGTAAAGTGACAGCAGAGAAGGGTTTGATTCAGACTCTGCATTTAAATCTGTGTCTCCAACTTTATTTAATTCACCTACAATAAACAGTTGAGGGTATTTTAAAGTATAATTGTCACAAATTATCTGATAATTATCAGAACATTTTACATAATATCAAGATCTTTGACCCTTAATTTTGAGATATGTTGTGTCTCTTTTAATGTTGCCATAGAAACTGATGTTTCAGGTTGTGTTGTGTAGGTCAGATAGAAAGAAGTGCACAGAGTTCGAGCTAAATGCTAATCACAGTAGTTAAACATGGGTTTCTCATAATTCTGAGACACAAATCTCTTACGTTTTTCCAAATTACAACATGCAAATCTCATAATAATGGGATCTTTTTCATAACTAGGTAATGTGAGTCTTTTATTAAAAATAGATCTTGTCATTATGAGATTATTTCTTATAATTATAAAATAATTCTTCATCATGATTGGTTAGGTCTGCTTCTTTAGTAAATGCAGTCCATTTAAAACATTAAGTTGTAATAATTCTATAGTCATGTGTTAAATTCCAGGAGCTAAAGAACGGGCTGAGATCTACGAAGCGTTTGAGAACATTTATCCAATCCTGAGAGGCTTCAGGAAACAGTGAGGCCGACCTCTGATGTCACTTCCTGTTTATGTGTAAATAGATGATATAAATATTTACTGTAAATCAGTTTTATTTTGTGTTGTGGATGGAAAATGAATCCGCTGTTTTAGTGTCTCTGTTGACTGTGTCGCCATCCTGAAAGAAAATAAACGATCATTTGTCAGATCTTTGCACAGAAAACTTATTTAAAACAAAGGCTGTGATTTTGTTTTTAAATAAAATGTTTAATTGTCTTTCTCTGAATCAGACCTGGATATTTTCAGCACTATTTTTTATTAATAATTTTGATCTGAAATCATTTCAGACTAGAATCTAAAAATGTTGATATACTATACTTTATTTGACTCAAAAATTCCAAGTTTAGCTGACTTATTTCACAGTGTCTTAGGGTTTTGTGTCAAACTTTTGATTTATTGTCATTCTACTATTATTATTATTAGTAGTAGTAGTTATTTATTTATTTTGTGTCATTACCAACTTTTCTTGTTTCTTTGTTTTGGGTTGAAATGTGCTTCCACAGTGTTGACAGCATGAGTCTTGAATGATCAGTAGATGAATGTAACCATGTACGTTTACTCAAGTTTTGTACTTAAATACAATTTTGAGGTACTTTCACTTATGTATTGCACTTTTATACAACTATACAACTTTGCTTATCATTCACTAAATCTCAGAGTTAAATTTGTACTTTTTGCTGCACTGCATTTATCTGATAGCTTTAGCTACTTTACAGATTCATATTATTAATATAATAAATGGTGATATTATTATAGATGAATCTACCTAGCAGTATAAAGTAATTAAAATGAGCTCCTGCAACATTAAAGTAATGAACACATGCATACATTAATAATTACAATATAATATATATTATTTAGCATGAGTGCTTGTACTTGTTGATACTTTTGTACTTTTACTAAAGAAAAAGTTTGAATGCAGGACTTTGTCTTGTGCCAAAATATTCCTACACTGTGATATTACTGCTTTTACTGCAGTAACATATCTGAATCGTTTTCTTTTCATTTTAAAGGTTTAATTTTTCAGTTCCTCTTTTGATTGAAGCCGCGGTGTTCCCTCGACTCCGCCCACAACGCTTACGTCATATTATAAACAAACCCGTCACGTTTTCAGAGAAACCGGAAGTGGCGGACTCATCGTTCGGTCATCATAACAAAAACATCTGTGTCAGCTTGTTGTCGCGTCTCCTGAACGTTTAACAAATATGACAGTGACATCACGGACAATATAACAAGCAGACGACCAACATGGAGACGTAGAGCGCGCGGAGTCCAGCAGCTAGCTTGTTCTAGCTTTATAGGTTAGCGTTAGCTTAGCTGGTTAGCTTAGTTAGCTCCTAGCTCTGTCTCCATGGCGTCCTCAGCGGGGCTCCCACCGCTCGGCCCGGACCGTGCTGCCTCATCCTCCGGCCCTCACTCCGGTGGGAGGCCGCCTCACCGCCCCCATCACCCCCATCCGGCTCACTCCACCCCGGGCTGTGTGATGGTGGAGTCGGTGGACGACGCGGAGGGTCTGTACGTAGCGGTGGAGCGGTGCCCCCTGTGCAGCACCTCCCGCCGCAGGCTGACCTGTGCCCGGTGCGTCCAGGCCGGGGACTTTGTGTACTTCGAGGGAGGGAGGAACACTGAGAGGTAAAACACAGTATCTGGGGGTAAAGTCTTCCAGGTTTTAGCCTGTGCTCCACTGTCCCATCGGTACCAGTGCCGAACCCCATAGCCAGATTCGCAAAGTTTACAGTGCAGCTATTTTTTCCGCAAAATCAGACAACATATCAGGTCATATATATAGTTGGTGTAAAATTATGGCACTTCTGTAGAGTTCGGCATTAATATAAGTACTCAAAGCGACATTAATACAACAAATCTTAAATGTTTCATTAGTTATTCCCGTCTCTAGCGCAATTGTTTAGGCGGGAGGAACAAAGTGAAACGACAGGTGTACCAGTCACAAAGATCACCATTTTGCTGAAACAAATGCTCTTTAGTATAGTACATGTATGCCGAATTGAAAAGTGGAACATTTTACTGTAAAAAATAAAAGCTTCCTGCTTTATATCTGTGTTTTCAGATATGAAGTTCACGTCAAGTTGTCATTTTGTGTTTTTTGTATACATGAGTTTCCTCATGCGAACGTCAGATTCAGTTTGACATCTTCAGTTTAATCTTGATATCTTGTGTTTGAAAACTGACTAAGGCTTTTTCATATTAGGTAAATATCAATTTGGACTAGTTAGCATTAGCAGCTAGCAGTAGCAGTTTGAGGCCAGTTTTAGCAGCTAGCTCTTTGGGATCTGGTTGAGTCCAAGTTGTTGGTTCGGTTCCATCAGGTTTATCAGACTTTAATATGTGTTGTCTCTCCATTGCAGACTCTATGAAAAACTAGGTGTCATACTAGCTCAGTAAAATGTGCTGCTACAGTTGCACAACATGTGAAAACCTAAAATAACTTGTCCTCAGAGCAGTAATGTGAGAGGTCAGGTTGCCAAACTGGGCTCTGGGGACCATCAGGCGTCTCTGCCATGCTCCCAGGGGACAACAACAATAACTTTTAGAAACTTGTCAGATACTCTGTAAAGTTTTAATGGACATTAGATCAGTTCCTGAATGTGACTGTTTTGTATGTTGTCTGCAGATACATTGAAAAGTTGGAGCGGCTGATGAAGCTGAAGGAGGAAAAGGAGCAGCTGCAACAGAAGTAAACAAACAGTTATTAATGTTTAACATACATGTGTGTTACAGTTAAGTCAAATTGATCAGATGACTTTGTCAGTACCTTTACAATTATATAGGTATTAAAGATAATATGTTATTGATGTGAACAGTGTTACAGCCTCACATGTCTGCAGCTGAACAAAGATAAAAGGCTGTTCTCTCCTCACAGAGTCATCCAGGACATGAGCAGGAAGCTGCAGGCTGATGAGATGGTGAGTTCAGTTACTTTATTCCTCCACATGATACCAGCCTCAGACTGGACTGTAGCCTCCCCCATTTCCCCAGTTGGTGGTCAAAGGGTTCAGTGTTTTTAGCACTAATGAGAGTTAAACAGTCTCTTTATTTTGTCTTCACACCTGAGTTACTGTTCAAAAGTCTAGGACCTTTGAACTCCATGGAAGCAGAGAAACAAAGCAACCATGAATTTTTAATTTCAGTATTTTACTTAAGCCATCTATCTGGATTTGTCTGGTTTGAATTTTAAATATATTATCATCTAAACTTTTGTCTCTTTTCAAAAGGGCTTTTAATGTGTGAATGATGTCGTGTATATTTTGCTGTATTCTAGTTTATGATCTTTTTAAACTAATGTTGCGTGTCTCTGAGTACCATAAAAATGCTCCACAAATAAACTGTATTATTATTTTTATTTTTTTACTTGAATTTGTAGATCTGAGTCTGAATTTGAGCATCTTAAACAAAGATAGATTTTCTTTTTTTTAAGAATATTGTAAATTTGAATTTTCTCTCTGAATTAAAATGAAAGTTTTTGATATTTAACAATTTGGAAAATTCAAAAAGGAAATTTCAACCATCAACATTTAGATGTTTTTAAGGTAAATTAATTAAGTTTTATAAATCCAGTGATATTTAAATACATCTCAGAGTTAGTTACTCAGTTTCTAATACATTTGTAAAATTGTTATGGCCTTTGTTTGCTTCCATAGACGTCTAATATGAAGCTGACACAGTTCCTTTCAGTTCTTAAATAAATTGTGGATCTGTAGAGGTCAATTAATTAGAGTTATCTCTAAGTGTAAAGAGTGTGTTTCCTTGTATTGAAAACCTTTTAATTCATTAATGTCTGAAGATGAAGAATTGCACTGAGTAGACAGTGTATTAAAAAGATTGTTGTTGAGATGTTTCAGTGTTTTTTAATTATGGTCATTTACATTTCTTCACTCAGTAAATGTTTGTTTAAGGATGATGGTAGTGTGTTAGATGAAACTGAAGTCAGACTGATGAAGATACCTGTTTGACTAATGAAGCATGATGAAGTGAAAACTGAGAGCTGCTGCTTCTTCTCAGAAATGGAAGATCATGTCGTGTAAGATGAAGATCGAGCAGCTGAAGGAGGCGGTCGCCGGGGGCAACGAAGAGGTGAAGAGTGGTGAGTCTGTCTGCAGAGTTTCCAACTTTCTGTTTGTCCTCAGTCTGGCACACATTTACTTTATATTATTATTATTATTATTATTATTGTTCCTCCACAGCGTCACATGGCCTTTTGTTTGAATGAAAATTCTGTCGCTGTTATTATTACCGTAGATCCACAGAGGTTTAAGAGTTTAGGAGTTGGAGTGATTTGCTTCTTCTGGATCGTATCCAGCAGAGTTTGATGTGCTTTTACTGAACTGAACTTTACATGAAAAGCAACAGTTTTCTGTGTGAAGCTGGGTTTTGTATTTTTTGGCTAAAAAAAATACCCGAAAAGATGAATTGATGCCAAGTTTATTTCAACCTCCGTTCTCCTCCTCCTCCTCGTCCTTCTACAGATAAAGACCTCCTCCTGCGCTCTCAGGAGGAGAGCCAGCGGCTGCAGCGTCGGGCCGGCCGTCACCAGGAGAAACGGGATAAGATTGAGCGTCACAACCGTCGTCTGGGAGATCTGCTGGAGAGACGCAGCCGGGAGCTACAGAGCCGACTGAGCCAGCTGGCGGCTCTGAGACGAGAACACATCCTGGAGCTCACCACGCACATCTTCCCCACACAGGAGGAGAAGCAGGGCAGCAGGTGAGACCACACACACCTCACAGGGAGAGTCTCCACCTGTGTGTTCACAGTGAAGGGGAAGGCGGTTAAAAGACCCAGACACACCAAACCAACATCAGAGAACTAATGGTGGTGAATGCCCACTGTTGCAAAGACTACAGCCAATGGCCACTTAGCTTGTATCTTCTGCGCCAGCGTGGGAGGAAATAACTCCACAGCAGCAGGTGCCACTGGTCTGTATTTATCATTCAGCATGGATTTAAGATGCTAGTTAGCCAGTTAGCACATTAACTACACAACCTCATGTTGAAAGAACAAATGATATTTACAGTGTGCTAGCCAACAATAATTCAAACAACTACAAACTGTTTCTGCTGAAGAGCTCAGTGGCAAAAAGAATCTGACCTCACAGAACAAATTTGTTTCAAACTCACTCGCTTTTGACTTTAGTCATTTCTTTACTTTCCACAATCCATTTCTGTTTTTGTTCACTGAGCTGAACTGTCAATCAGAGTGATTTCATTTGCCGACGGGCTCCACGCTTCAGATCCATCATGCTGAATCAGCAGGAAAAAAGCTGACTAGCGCCGACGAGGGCCAACAGTGCGGGACACACCAAACAGAGGAGGGCTGCAGACACTCACCAACAGCTCCACACACATCTCTCCCACTGCATCGAAGAAGAAGCAACACTGACAACCAAGTTGCCTTACAGCCCCTCTTTCTGTCTTTCTCTTGTTTTGTGTCCGATTCTCACGCGCAGTCTGAAGCCCCGTTTCCACCGAACACTTTCAGTCCAGTACCTTTGGAACCAGCAGTAACCCTTCAGACATGGTACCTAGACCCTCGGTGTGTTCAGACAGTCTTCTTAAATGTGGGCGGGGTTGTTGTCACTCACTGCTCCGTCCAGCATTCGCTGTATTTCCTCATCAGCGGTGACACAGATGGAAGTCTGCACCTGGTTTATCGTCCACAGAACGAGGCTGCACGCCCACATTTTCACAACAAAATAGAACAGGCTGCAGTGAGAGTCTCTCTCCATGGGATATTTAAAAATAGCAGCTTTGTGCATTTAGTCCTTCTCAGGCAAGCTCAGGGGTTTAGTGTTGCTGTAGCCCACAGGAAGTGAGGATTAGAATATATGACCTTCACATAATCCGCTCCAAATTAATCTATATTTTTAAACACTTGAAGATCCACTCATTACTAAAAGTGTCTGTTATATAAAAACTAAAGTGATGGTCGAAGTTGTCACAGTGAAATTTAAGGTGTGCTGGTGGATTCACGTCAATAACTCATACGTTAAGTAACATTACAAGTAAACATTCCACCTTAAAAGTTGCCAGCAGTCGGCCCAGTGAATTAATTTTCTCAGTCTACAGCTGCTGAGAGGCAGCAAAACATCCTTTGTTAACCTGTCCTCTGCCCCTGTGTGTGTCACTCAGAGACCCTGCAGATGTGGTGGCAGAGTGTGACCCTGCGCTGACCTCCAGCACAGTGAGCGAGCTGGCTGAAGCCCGGAGGACCACCTATCTGTCGGGGCGCTGGATCTGGGACGACCAGAACGGAGAGACCAGCATTAGCATCACGGGGCCTCCTGTCACCCTGCCCAGCAACGGGGACTGCTCCGCCTACTACAGCTGGGTGGAGGAGAAGAGCACCAATCAGGGCCCAGGTGAGGAGGGAGGGGGCGGAGCTTCAGACTGAGTGTTCTGATGAGAGCTGCAACAATTAGTTCATTAATCCATGAGTCTAAAAAAATAATTGTTAAAGTTGTTTATTGAGTAACAGCGATTTATGAAGGCCTCATGTTTGTCCATTCTCTGTCATATGACCTTTGACCTCCTGTCTGTCCTCTGTCTTGTCTGTCTACAGAGTTGGACCACATCAACCCGGCCCACACCATCAGCGCTGCTCTCTGCTACGCCACACAGCTCGTCACCATCCTGTCTCACATCCTGGACGTCAACCTGCCCAAGAAGCTCTGCAACAGGTGAGACAGGAAACACCTGCTGCTGCCTTCACTTAACACATCTCAGCGTTAGGAAAACAAAGCGTCAGGTTCTTTCACATGTCTGATTTCATGTTTGTGAACCTGTTTGTTCCTCAGTGAGTTCTGTGGAGAGAATCTGAGCAGATATCGCTTCACCAGAGCTCTGAGCAAACTCAACACCAACATCCTCCACCTCTGCTTCTCTCAGGTCAGACACTGAGATACTCTGAGACAACTTTAACTTTGATTGTTGATAATGTAGCTGTGAATATGTACTTTTACTGAGAAATAAGAGATGAAATGAGGTCCTTAAAATGTGTCTTCTGTGTGTGTTTAGCATGTAGACAGTGAGAAGCTCCACCCTCATCACACTCTGAGGAACATCATGTTTCTGGTTTCCCCCGACAACGACAACCTGGGCAGGTGAGATACTCCTGTCTGTCTGTCTGCAGCATTTGTTAAAGTCTTAAAATCAGCTTCAGAAATCCAAAACGGTTAAAGTGTCTGATGAAGTTTAGTTTGTAAGAAGGCAGCCACATGTTCATTTGGACGGAAGCTCTGATTTTGGAAGCATTTTTTATCTGACTGGTGTCTGGGTTGTATCTGGTCTGGTCTGGTCCAGGACGGGTCCGTTTGAGGTGAGTGCTGACCTGGAGGAGTCGATGGAGTTTGTGGAGCCGGAGGCGGCTGGGCCGGCGGAGGAGAGCGGAGACGAGGCCGTGACCGATGAAGAGACGGACCTGGGGACGGACTGGGAGACGGTGCCCAGTCCACGATTCTGTGACATCCCATCACAGGTAGGAACACCTGAATCACCAGCACCTTCTCATAAAACACATCAGGACCAGAGTCCTCATAAATGATGTCATCGCTGGGCTCCTCGTAAAACATACCAGCCCCAGGGTCCTGGTGAAACACATCAGCCCCATAGTCCTCATAAATCCTATCAGCACCATGGTCCTCAAAATGTATTAGTACTAGAGTTCTCATAAAACACATCAGGACCAGAGCCCTTACAAATCATGTCATCACGCGGGTCCTCGTAAAACACATCAAGCCCAAGGTCCTCATAAATCGCATCAGCACCAGGATTCCAATAAAACACATCAACACCAGAGTCCTTTTTAAACGTGTCAGCACCAGTGTCCTCATAAAAAAAACATCAATGCACAAGTCCTCTTGAAACACACCAGGACCAGAGTCCTCTTGAAACACATTAGTACCAGAGTCCTCTTGAAACACACCAGGACCAGAGTCTTCATAAAACACACCAGGACCAGAGTCCTCTTGAAACACACCAGGACCAGAGTCTTTATAAAACACACCAGGACCAGAGTCCTCTTGAAACACACCAGGACCAGAGTTCTCATGAAACACATTAGTACCAGAGTTCTCATGAAACACACCAGGACCAGAGTCCTCATAAAACACACCAGGACCAGAGTCCTCTTGAAACACATTAGGACCAGAGTTCTCATGAAACACACCAGGACCAGAGTCCTCTTGAAACACATTAGGACCAGAGTCCTCATAAAACACACCAGGACCAGAGTCCTCATAAAACACATTAGTACCAGAGTCCTCATAAAACACACCAGAACCAGAGTTCTCATGAAACACACCAGGACCAGAGTCCTCATAAAACACATTAGTACCAGAGTTCTCATAAAACACACCAGAACCAGAGTTCTCATTAAACACACCAGGACCAGAGTCCTCATAAAACACATTAGTACCAGAGTCCTCATAAAGTACACCAGGACCAGAGTCCTCTTGAAACACATTAGTACCAGAGTCCTCTTGAAACACACCAGGGCCAGAGTCTTCATAAAACACACCAGGACCAGAGTCCTCTTGAAACACACCAGGACCAGAGTCCTCTTGAAACACATTAGTACCAGAGTCCTCATAAAACACACCAGGACCAGAGTCCTCATAAAACACATTAGTACCAGAGTCCTCATAAAACACACCAGGACCAGAGTCCTCATGAAACACATTAGTACCAGAGTCCTCATAAAACACACCAGGACCAGAGTCCTCATAAAACACATTAGTACCAGAGTCCTCATAAAACACACCAGGACCAGAGTCCTCATAAAACACATTAGTACCAGAGTCCTCATAAAACACACCAGGACCAGAGTCCTCATAAAACACATTAGTACCAGAGTCCTCATAAAACACACCAGGACCAGAGTTCTCTTAAAACACACCAGGACCAGAGTCTTCATAAAACACATTAGTACCAGAGTCCTCTTGAAACACACCAGGACCAGAGTCTTCATAAAACACATTAGTACCAGAGTCCTCATAAAACACACCAGGACCAGAATCCTCATAAAACACATTAGTACCAGAGTCCTCATAAAACACACCAGGACCAGAGTCCTCATAAAACACATTAGTACCAGAGTCCTCATAAAACACACCAGGACCAGAGTTCTCATAAAACACACCAGGACCAGAGTCCTCATAAAACACATTAGTACCAGAGTCCTCATAAAACACACCAGGACCAGAGTTCTCATAAAACACACCAGGACCAGAGTCTTCATAAAACACATTAGTACCAGAGTCCTCTTGAAACACACCAGGACCAGAGTCTTCATAAAACACATTAGTACCAGAGTCCTCATAAAACACACCAGGACCAGAATCCTCATAAAACACATTAGTACCAGAGTCCTCATAAAACACACCAGGACCAGAGTCCTCATAAAACACATTAGTACCAGAGTCCTCATAAAACACACCAGGACCAGAGTTCTCATAAAACACACCAGGACCAGAGTCCTCATAAAACACACCAGGACCAGAGTCCTCTTGAAACACTTCTGTATTTTAATAAAATGCGAGGGAATGAAAAAGATTTTAAAAATTCTTCTTCTCTTCCTCCTCCTCCTCCTTCCTCCCTACCTCCTGCTCTTCCTCCAGTCCATGGATCTTTCCCAGAGTGCATTGCAGGTCTCTCAGCCCTCTGCTAACACAGGAGGGATGATCTCGTCTGCTGCTGCCTCCGTCACCTCCTGGTTCAGAGCGTACACTGGCCAGCGCTGATCAGACCCGACAGAACCAGTCTGGACTTGGCTGGTGAGATGTGGACTCCTGGAGGTCTCAGACTTTGGACTGGACTGAGGTCAGAGGTCAGAGGTCAGGCTGGCAGGTCTCCTTTAAACTAAACCGCTGCTCTGAATCTTTAAATGAATCTTTATGTAGCGATCAAACAGAGAAGTCAAATGTTTTCTTTGTATTTCTGCACACCAGCATCCATCTGATCATCGGGAGTCTGAAACTGTCCACTGACACTTAACAAATAAAGAGAAATGATTCAAAAACATCTGTTCAGATCAGATTTAGTGTCAGACGATAAAATGTTAACGTCGACCTGTAACAGGTAAACCAGAGTCTGACCATGTGAGACTGTTCTCTGATGAGGCTTCATCAGGTCGCTACATCATAGTGTGTTATTAACTATTGGTTATATTTTTATTATAGATGCTAATTAAGAGGTTAAACTGTTTACTCTTTGCTAAGGACAAATTATTTCACCTGTCGACCTGCCAGCCTGTCTGTCTCTCTGTCTGTCTCTCTGTCTGTCGTCACCACAAAGGGAAAGTTTCTGCTTTTATCTTTTTAAGTTTCTTTTTTGTTGGTTTTTATTCGTCTGTGTTATGACGAGAGCCGACAAACTGAACTCCTGAGCGCTGCCATGGTAACGACAGTGCTAACAAACACTGGTTACCACGGTAGTAACGGATCCCTGTTTACAAACCCGCAGACTGAATCGAAGGAGACGCCGCGTTCACACTGGACAACAAATCTGAAAGCAGAACTGAATCTGTTTTCAGTCCGCTTTAAAGGAAATGACTTTTCCTGTGTTGTTTTTTTTTCTGTTTGGAGCATCGTGAGGATCAAAAACTGTCGCATACGCCGAGAGGAGGAAACAGGTGATGATGGGACAGACGTCATCTGTAGAGGTACATCAGAACTGAACATGAAACAGACTGAAACACATCAGCTGACTTTAAATGTTTCCTTGAAGCAACATCAGACGAAGTGAAGCTTTAAGACGAGAACTCGTCGGTTCTTCTTCGTTGTTACTTCCTGTTAAAGGAACAAAGTGTGTTTTAAAGTTTCTCTGTGTGTTACCATGAAAAGATTTAAAATAAAATCCTGTTTTCTGGTTTTGGACGTCGACGCTTCTCAAGTCAAAGTTTTCTTTGAGACATTTTTACTTAACAGAGTGGTGCAGGAATGAGTCCTAAAATCCAGAGGTGAGTTAGCATGTTAGCACATCCTGTTCCCTCGTCTTGATATCAGTAGGTTTTTGAATGTGTTTTTGGTCATATGCCTGAAATAAGGTCAGTGGTCAACACAAGCTGAAGAGACTATGATATAAAAAATATGTCAGTAAATACCCCACTTATGAATTTTGAAGCTTTTATGTCATAAAAAGGCAGTTGCTAACAAGTGGCTAAATGAAACTACAGAACATCACGTCAAACAAGGCTTTACGACCTCGTGGTGGTGGCAAAGGTGAAGTCATGTGATCGTGATGTAGTTCGTTTATGTCTTAACATAAGCGTTTTACTTCCGGTGTTTGCATTTAGGCTTCAAAAATCATAAAAGTGGTGTTAATTTGTGAAGGTTATCTTACAAAAAGTGTAAGTATTATAAATGTTTGTTTGCCACAGATCTTGTTTTCTGCAATAATCCCAAATCAATGGAAAAATCCCACAAACTTTTTTTGACGAGGGAACCAAGGTGATGCTGACGTCTGGATCGACCTACAAAAAAAGCCTGTCATTAAGTCCTGCGAGGTGGTGAAACACAACTCAACATAATGCTCACTAACTTTGTTCATGTCCCAGAGCTTTTGACTGTCTCGCAGCCTTTTTGAGCAAATAGTTTCACACACAAACTTTCCTGGAGATTTTCACCATGTGTTTTTATAGCGATCATGCAGCTGACTGTAATTTGTTGCATAGTTTTATTTTGGGGCATTTTACCCTTTAATTGAGAGGACAGTCAAGCGTGAAGGAGAGAGAGAGAGAGAGAGAGAGTGACATGCAGCAAAGGGCCACAGGCTGGAGTCAAGCGCAGGCTGCTGCGGCAACAGCCTTGTACATGGGGCGCCTGCTCTACCCACTAAGCCACCGATGCTCCATTTGTTGCATAGTTTTTTTTAATTTATGCATTGTCTTCTTCTTGCTCTATGATTGGTCACCAGCAGCGTCCATCAGTACAGATTACCCGTGGACAGACAGAATCACACTCACCACTCATAGATGCAAAAAGTATTTCCATTATTACGAAAAAGATAATGTTCTCACAAAGTTGTTTACTAATGAAAATTAATACTCCTGTTGACACGCAGCCCTACATGTCATTTATCATGTCAAAATATAGATCAGTGGAACAGCTGGAGATGTTTGTCATTCTGCTTCTTTGCATCAAAACAGGATTTTTTCAAAGTTTCCTACCAGTGGCGGACTTGTTGGACCGTTTGAACACAGCCTCCCTCTTATATCCTTCAACCACTTTCTTAAAAAGGTCGATGTTGTGATATTTGTGCATCTCCAAGTCTTCCATGATGTTTAAAAGTCGGTGTGTTTCTCCTTCTGATCTGGGTTTTTCTGTTGGACATCCATCTCTGTCACAGTTGGTTTGTGTGCAACGTATCCATGACAACACACAGAGCCAACCATAAACAGACAAGAGGTTTTGTGTCACAAAATGTAGTAAAAAACACAACTGAGATTCATGTTCTGAATATGCTGTATGCATGTCCAAGTGATGCCACTAAATCACAATTATATCAACATATCTCGCGTCTTAATCAGAAAATGCCTAATTTGGAAAAAGGTCTAATTCAGAATATCCAAACAAAATGTTCTGTGTACATGACCCCCATCAAATTTGTAATATCGTCATATTTGGGGAATATTAGTGTGCATGATTTAGTTCAAAGTTTACACTATAATCAGCAACACACTGTTTGTAAGTTATAAATCAGTGCGGAGACGATAAAGTTACACAGCTGCAGAAGTACGAGAACAGATGTTTAAATAATCCACTTTAAATACTAGAATATTGTTTACAGTACAGCTACTAAAATAAAAGGTATAATTATAGAAAGAAATCTGAATAATCATGAAATTATATATTTAAACAGGAAATTATATATAAAACTAAACAGTGAAAGTGACAGAGTGAATGGACACGTTCAGACAACGGTATCAATGAATCATCCTAAAATGCATTTAATACACCTACAGCGTCAAAACAAAGGTGTGTAAAGTGTGTGTGTGTGAGTCATAATCCAAATACAGTGTAATATCTAAGTGGTGCACGTGAGTGTGCACGTGACAGTTTAGTGCACAGATCCTCTAAACTGTGAAGTCTTTGAGCTGCAGATTAGGGTGTTAGTAATGATTGGTATGCAGCGCTGCGGAGAAACTAATCCCACTGGAGAAACAATCAAACCTGCAAATGTGAGAGAGAAGAAGAAGAAACAGGAAGAGACAAACTCTTACAACAGAAAGATTGATGGCACTTTAGCTGATATTTGATTTGTGAATGTAAATGCTGAGTCTGACGTTTGGTTTGATTTTATCACCAGTCTGTCTGTATCAGTGAATCTGTGATCAGAATTAGTTTGAGCTCGTTACAGACTGAGGAGTGAATTCACAAAAGGACTGCGTGTCTCTTCGAGCTGATAAATCTGCACGGATAAGACAAACAGAAACGGATTAATTCTCAAAGCACCACAAAGGTTGAAATGCACCTTCGCTATTTGCATGAATTTATATCAGGTAATTAATTTGGTGCCAAGTTGGCCCCTTTCTACGTAAATGACGCTCATTTAAAAAACAGTCCAACTCACAAAGACATGCTGTTACAGTTATTAGTGTCCTTGGAGAGTTGGTGGGAACTGAAGTGCACTGATGGACATATTGTAGGATAGTGCCTTGAGATGTAGCATGTCATTGTCAAGGGGGTTCTCTTGAGTTTATCTGTCACATTAAATTTGTGCCTGATGTTTTTAGGAATGCCTCTGCACCTCGTCAGACAGGAGCTGCAGCTTTTCTTCATCTCTCTGTCTTTCTGTCTGCTGTGTTCTTGGCACAAAGGAGACATTCAGGCTGCTTTCACACCTGCCCTGTTTGGTTCGGTTCAGTCTAACTCAAATTCGTTTGCCTCCTCAGTGTGGTTCGTTTGGGCAGGTGTGAACACAGCAATCACACTCAGGTGTGCACCAAAACAACCAGACCGAGACCTTCTTGAAGAGGTGGGAAGAAGGAGTGGTGGATGGGTCCAACAACACTGACTTTCACCCAGGAGAGCGGTGTTTGTGTCCCGTAAGATTCTAAAGCCAAACCCTGTTCTTTTTTCTAAATCTAACCATGTGCATTAGATGTTGGAGGAAAAGAAAAACAACAATTCCTGCTGTTGTATTGACATAATGCTTTTATTTTGAAAGAGACTGTATGTAAATGTTAAATTTTCAGAAGTGTATTTTGAAAACAGACAATGCATGTAACAGGCTGAACTTGGTCAGACACGGTGTCCCAGAACATCAGCGACCAACGTACCTGGGGTACCTTGCATATCGTAGGTCTGAATGTGTTGTTCTGGAATTTACAATAATGTCACGTGATCTTCCTCAGCAGACGACTTTTCTTAGTTTAAGATGTCTAAATTTTCCTAAGAGCTTTGAGGACTTTTTTGCAGAGATGGGACCAAGTCACACATGTGCAAGTATCAAGTCTTAACCTTCAAGTCTCAAGTAAGTCCCAAGTCATTTTTTCTTGGTCAAGTCAAGTCAAGTCAAGTCCTGTAATAGGTCAAGTCAAGTCCAAGTCAAGTCACCTTATTATTGTAATTTTACCTGCAGAATCTGATCTTAATAAAGTGAAAAGACAAGATATAAGTAACTGTCAGTAAACATTGACTTCATCGCTGCAATGTTTACTTTGCAGGGACGACCCCATGCATGCACGCGCGCACACACACACACACACACACACACACACACACACACACAAACCAAGGCAGCAGCCAAAATCACCCATTTAGCTCATTTAACCCTGTGTTGTTCATTCATAAAATGTACAGCTGGTCTTGTGATGAACCGGTTGGAATGTTCGCTCACGTTTTTTGGGGTTAATGTTAGCAAATAAATTAAAACACAAGTTCCACCAAACTGACCCACCCCCCCACCCCACCCCCGTATCGTATCAAGCTAACGTTAGCTAACTACCGACTAACCAGATAATATTAGCTAATTGACGAGCACTTACTGGGCAGAATGGCTCTTCAAATGACGAACAAAGTTTGAAGTTGTTGCCTGGCTGTCCGAGATGTTTATGCCACATGTCTTGCACTGTGCTGTTCGTCTTTTGCCGTAATAATAGTAATAACAAAAGACGATGACTCTGGGTACCCCTCCCGCTGACATGTTGATGCCTATCTGATATAAGAGGGCGTGTTTCTCCAATAAACACGTAAGGTACGCAGAGAGGGCATGACTGATTGACAGGGTAGTGATCCAGTCATGACAACGCCATTCTCAGCCTGCGCTCCTACCGGCTAATCAACATTATTTTTTAAATTAATTTATGAATTTTATATTCTAACCGAAAACATGATGTGAATAACACTCAAGTCATTCAAGTCATCGTGTCTCAAGTCAAGTCACTTCCAAGTCCGAGTCAAGTCTCAAGTCAAGTCACAAGTCATCAAAACAGCGACTCGAGTCGACTCGAGTCCAAGTCACAATGACTCAAGTCCCCATCTCTGACTTTTTGTTCATGTTGGCTCCATTTTAAACTTCATTACTTCAGTTGGAAACAGCATTTTTTTTTTCCTCACTCAAGTTACTGAACTATGCAACCGGCCGACTTCACCTCCTGCGACCACGTCAGTTAGCCCGGCTGAAACTATCAAAGTTTGACTTTAAATGAAGAGAAACTAAACCAAACCTATACAGTACATTGTTTTTAGAAAATTAATCTCGACTTGCTACGGTCCACTAACGGGCTTTTTCTGGAACTTTCGGCCACGTCGTATGATCCAAGAAGTTCGCTAAGAATAAACATCCATGCTGTGTATGGTAAATGAAGTTATAAACTGTCTGCTGTTTCTGTTTCTGACCTGAAGGAAGAAAACGTGTTTCTGTGAGTCGACTCATTCGACTGTGCTAAAGGGTTACACCAAGATTAGTGTGTGTGTGTGTGTGTGTGTGTGTGTATTTAAGCTGTTTGACTCTTGTTCAGCGACAGATTTTGTCTTCAGGATGAAGTCGGCTGGTCTGTTTCTGCTGCTGTTCTTCTGTTTGTCTCCAGCCGTTATTCAGGGACAGTCGGAGGTTTCTGCACCCCAGGAGGATGATGTCAGGATGGGGGGTGAGGATTTTAGGACGAGGGCTGACGTCCCACCAGAGCTTACCGTCCTCTGGGACGAGCTGCGGGGTTTGAAGGAGCTAGTCCTGAGCCTGAAAGCAGTGGAGGTGGAGCAGCGTCAGGCCCTGCGGAGCATGGAGAGTCGGCTGAGAGACGGGGAGGTGGAGGCTGAGCAGCAGAAACACAGTCTGGACGAACTGGAGGAGACAGCGGTCCATCAGGGGGAGGAGCTGAGGAGGGCAGAGGCTGACAGGAAGCTGCTGATGGAGCAGAACTCAGACCTGAGGAGGAAAGTGGAGGAGCTGGAGGAGCAAAGCAAAGGTAGGTGTTGGAGGGGGACATATGTTAAAAACTAAAGGGAAATGTTTACAAAAAATGTTGCATTTTCTAAAATGTTTTGGCGTTCCCTAAATTTTTGTTGTGTTCCCCAGAATGTTTCAATATTTCCTCAATGTTGTGTTCCTTAAAATTTTGTTGAATTTCCTAAAAATAATGCTTGGTTTTTTTCCCAAAATTTTATTGTGTTTCTGTTCACTAAAATGCTGTTACATTTCCTAAAGGTTGTTCAATTTCCTAAAACGTTGTGTTCCCTAAAGTACATTTTTTACAATACTTTTGCATTTCCTAAAATGTTGTTGCATTCCTTAAAATGTTGTTGCGTTCCCTAAATTTTTGTTGCTTTCCCCAAAATGTTTCAATATTTCCTAAAGTTGTTGCATTTCCTAAAATGTCGTTGCAATTTCTAACATGTCCATGTGTTCCCTAAAAGGTTTTTTGCATTCCCTAAAGATTTTGTTACTTTCCCGTTCCCTAAAATGTTGTAACATTTCCTAAAAGTTGTGGCATTTCCTAAAATGTTGTTTCCCAAGAATGTGTGCATTCCTTAAAATGTTGTGGTCCCATTTCCTGAAATGTAGCTGCATTCCCTAAATTTTTTTTGCGTTCTCTAAAATGTTTTAATATTGCATATAGTGTTTGTTTCCTAAAATTTCTAAAATGTTGTGGCATTACCTAAAAATTGTGTAAAATGTTGCTGTGTTAATTAAAATCCGTTTGTGTTTTCTAAATGATGACACAAACATGTTGATGTGTAGCAGGTGTAATGTTGACCTTGTTCACCGTCTTAGTTCAGTGTGATCTCGTGCTAACATGAGTTAAGCGTTAGTAAACACAGAGTCCAGGTGAGGCTGATGTGAGTGTCATTAGTTCTGCTGGTGTTTGGTTGAATAAGTATCAGACACATTAAATGCTGACCTGACGATGGCGTTAGATGAAATATGAGAGATTCACCAACGTCATCACAGTCCATCCTCCAGCTGTTGAGACATGTCAGTCATCATGTTTTTTTTTGTTGTGTTTTGTTTTTCAGTTCAAGCCGCTGAGTTTTCATCTGCAGTGTCGACGCTTCAGTTCAGACTGAACAAAAGTGAGAGCTCATTGGACGAACTGCAGAAGAAGAACACAGGTGAGACAGAAAACTGATTTCTGCTCTTCAGCTCGAACCTTAACTACCTCACCTGGGATTTTTGTAACTGTTTACATATTCAACTTGCGCTTCAGCTGTTTACAGTCCACACACTTCAGCTGCAGCCAAATACTTAAACTCCAAGTGACAGTTCAGCTGCTTTCAGTTCTCACTAATATTTCCTTGCTGTCATGTCTCTGATGTTCACCAACACTTCAGCTGCTTTCAGCGCTTAACTTTGACACCAAAACATCAGATGCTTGTCACCTGTCAGGTGATCCTGTAATTATGAGTCCATACCAAAGTGTATGGACACTGGTGTGTGTTTCTGGTTGCCATGGTAACTTATTGCCACTGTCTTCACAGTTCTGGCAGCGGAGCTACCGTTCCTGCAGACAAGACTGAGGGCGACTGAGAGCACGGTGGAGCAGCTGAGGAGGAAGAGCGCAGGTCATCATCACTGTCATCAGATTTAATGTTATCATTATCAGAGTCTGTGAGCTGATACTGATGTAGAAGAGAGAGTGTGTGACTGGTGCTCAGTAACGCCCCCTGTGGCCTGTAGTGATGATTACAGGTCGATGTTAAAACGTCGGTCAGCATCAGATGATATGATGACAGGAGTGAAAACGTTTACACATAACTTGTGTCTATCTCAACATTTCAGTTTGAGTCCAACTCACAAAGTTAAAGACTGAAGCAGTTCACAGTTATTAACTTTTTTTTCCCAGCAATCTGTTTATTGGTTTATAACACCATACAAAGGAACATATAGAATACCGTAAAACTTCAAATAGTAGCCCGGACCATTATTTGCTAAAAATACTGAACTCAACAGGCCAATATTTGGGACAGGCCTTTAATGCCTTTCACACAAAACTTTTGTTCAGCAAAGATTTGAAATACAATCATATTGCTGATCTAAACCTGTATGAATATTACTGGTATAAAACTTAAGCTTCGAATATCAGTAATGAGCGATGTTACGGCATTTGTTTCAACGCACCTGAGGATAACAAGACTTTATCCTGTTAAAACAATACGCATAACTTGGATTAATATTTATGAAGAACACTTTTGATTCTTTTGATCAGTGGACCCGTACAGACTAAAGAAATATAAATAACTTAGCAGGTAATTGAGGAAAAGACACCTAATCTAACTTTATGACAACTTCAGACGAAGGGAGTCACCAAACTTTTCCGTCATGCTGGTGAATCTAAAAGACTAACAGTCTTCTCTCGTGCTCATGGTTTCAGTAAAATGAAATTAGATAAGCTAACGATGTGTAGCATCTCCATATTGACAAAAGTTTAAACATTTATATTTGTATTTGTGATCTCAACAGCTAACTAATGTTAGCTGAGGCGGGTAGTCGAGCAACTTGGTTTTATACATTCAAAGAACTTATATAAAAATGAACTGCTTGGCAACCAGACCAGGCCTCTATTTGAGACAGGCCTTTATCTGTCAAAATGCGTAGCTACACTGGGCTAGTAAAAGAGACTGGGGGTTAAAGTGGAGCTAGGCTTTTAATTGAAGTTTAACGGTACAATACGAATGTTTACAAACACCCTACAATTTCTTTAAAATATGCACATACATGGTGATAAGCTGTGTTAAAATAATTAAAGAATTATAGCACACACACACACACACACGTATACAAAAATAAATTAATAGGAACACAAACAGCAACAATAATAAAATTTAAAAAATTAAAAGGAAAAAGACGGAAAAAAAATTAAGTTTGAAGTACTATACAACAGACACGTTACATTTACTTTGTATACACCAAGTTTAAAAGGGTTTTATTGCAGAGCGTGTTACGTCCGACACACAAGATAAACCCTGGCCACTCAGATGTCTTGTTAATGGGCTCATTGACAGTTGTACTGACGGTGAGGAGGTAAAACAAACAGATAGTCTCTGTGTTTTTTAGTGCTGGCAGTCAGACTGTGTAACACTGACAGTGTGATGGAGGAGCTGATGAGGCAGACATCAGGTCAGATTCATTTCTCTGTTAATCCTTTTATTGATCAGGTAAAATATAAAATCTATGAAGATGTAATAACTGGTTTATGACAGACTGTAATGTAGCTGTAAACAGATTTAATGACGTTATGGCACATATCATCATTAATAAACACTTAAACTAGGGATGCACAATGATATCGGCATGTCATCGGTATCGTCCAACATGCTTTTTCTTATTTTGTAAAATGAATGAATATTACATAAACTGAAAAGTATTGTATTTCATGTCTCCATCTGCTGGTGGGCCATCACGATAAGAGTATGTACTGTATGTATAGTATGATGTTAATTCAACAACGGAATAGACTTGATGATTAGGTGAGGGAAAAAAAGTGGATATATTGATACCAGTTATCGGTCAAATGAGTTGTTACATCGGATATCGGCAAAAAAATCTAACATCATGCATCCCTAAGTTAAACATGTCTTTATATTTGCTCACAGCTTCATTATAGTGTGTTATAAACCATGTGTGCTTATTTTCCTGTGACCATGTGGGGAACATAGTTCTGATTAAAGAATTTTAAATCTCAGTTTAGAGGAAAGCTTTTGATTTAAGTGCTGAACTACACCAATCAGACAAATGTTACATCATTAAATACCATCACATGTTAATACAAATTACATGAGTTACAAATAAACACTGAGCGTGTTTAAAAGATTGAATGTTAAACAAACTTTTAACCCTTCATTTCCCAGCATTCTCCAACAGTTCATCTGAAGTGTCTGAGCTGGAGGAGCTGAGCAGGAACACACAAGGTGAACTGATCAATCAATAATCAGTCAGTAATCAGTGGCGCGTTCAGTATGTCATTGTTGGAATGATGTTGTATTTTGGTGAATACAAATCTGATGTCATGTCCACAGAGGCTCTAGTGCCCAAAAATACAAACTTACAGAAAATTAATAAGTGATTGAATAATCATTTTTATGTGTGTGTGTTCCAGCTCTGCAGAGTCGACTGAACTCTCTGGAGGAGAAACTGAACTCATCTGCTGAGAGAAACGAGCTCCGCTTCATACGAGGTCATTCATTTATTTATTCATTCGTTCACTGTAATTGTTGGTAAATAGTTAATATAACTATGTCAACTGAAATCAGACTCAGATCTGATTTGAAATCAGATTTCTTTATTGTCATTGTACAAACATACAATGAAATTCAGGTGTACTCATGGACCAGATTCATATATAAAATAAGTAAAAAAAATAGTAATAAAATTATAATACGAATAAATAAATAAATACCTCCATTCCACTCACATTCTACACAATTTGTAAACTAAGTACTACTAAGTAAGGAAATTTGTGTTTGGTAGATTATTTCTTTGTTGTAACAATGCTTCTTGGCAATAAATCTTATGCCGGAAAGCCTGTTTATTTTCCTTTTAAATGGTGCCACATTTATTAGGAACATGCATTTGTGGGATGAGCAGCAGAGTTGAGTATGTGGGTTGTGCCCATGAAAAATTTGCCAAATCTTCCCTAAAATGGTGTTGTGTTCCCTAAAATGTTGTTGTGTTCCCAAAAAATGATTTGTGTGCCCCAAAATGTTTTAACATTTCTTGAAAGTTGTTACATTTTATAAAATGTTATGTTCCCTAAAATAAGTTTCCGAAGATGTTTTTGTGTTTCCTAAAATGTTGTATTTTCTAAAATTTCTGTTCCATTTTAAATTCTATTTTTCTAAATAAATCACTTGTTAATTTTTATTTTCTGAACTGATTAATTTCAGATCAGGTATCAGAGATCAGCAGCAGACTGAACAGCAGCGAACTTCACCTGGAGGAGCTGAAGAGAAAATCTGCAGGTGGGTCACATGACACCTTGGTCACATGATCATTGAAGTCAGTGAAGTAGATAATTATTTTGCATGTTTTTCATGTTTTCAGATCAGACAGGGGGACTGAAGTCTGTAGAAAGACGACTGGAGGAGCTGAAGACACAAGACACAAAAAAATGTATTTATAATTATTATCATATGATATATAAAAAACGCATGATGTACTCCAAGCGTCTGTTAGATATTCATCAGCTCAGATATTATCTTATGTGACTCAGTGTTTAGTCAATTTGTCTCGATTAATTCTCTGTTATTATGGAACATGATTTCAGTTCAGTCAGCAGATGTTTTGGCTCTGACTGACAGACTGAGTGTGGGTGAACATCGACTGGATGAGCTGAAAACACAATCCACAGGTAAACAAATCAAACACACCCCTGTCAGTTAATACAGAAACTCAGCTACATTCATTTATGCCACTTTGTTAACATACAGAAATTAAAAGTCTTTAATGTTGTAGCTACATGATTAAAAGTTGATAAGAATACAGCAACATGAACTTTGAGTGCTTGACTTTTACTTTACCCAAGCAACAAGGAGATAGGCCAAAGTAGGTAGGCCATTCTTCAGATCGGGGATGTCACTTCCTGTACTTTCTCCATTCAGTTCAGGCTGATACAGTGAAGCAGCTGCAGGTCAGACTTGACTCTGCTGAGAGTCAAATACAGCAGCTACAGACTGACAGGAAAGGTAACTGAAGTACACACTGAAGTAAACAGAGAGGCTCAAAGAAAATGTTTTACTGCAGTTTATTTTTATGTTTCAGATCAAAACGACAAACTAAAGACGCTGCAGAGAAAACTGAACACGACTGAGAGTCTGCTGGACAAAATGAACGCAGGTACTACATCCATCTGTTCATCCACCAGTCAGTTCATCAGTCTAGAAGTCATGAAGGAATCACACATTACTATCAAACGTGAAAAAGACAATAATGATAATCAGACTGAACTCTTGAAAGAACTTTCTGATTCATATCTTACGGTTTTCTCTTTAGAGTTGGAGGTCAGACTGAGTGTCAATGAGACACAGCTGGAAGATCTGAAGACAGAAAATACAGGTGTCAGTGAAGGATTAACACTAACGGGATTGATATTAATGTACCATTAAATACAAATAAATTAACTTACCATGAAATCATCATTAAGTGATAAAGAATTTGGAGCATAACATTTTTTAGCTAATAAAAGGAAAGAGAAACATTTAGTGATTTTTCAAACAGAAACTTTTGAGGATCCAAAATGGTTCCCAGAGGAACTCCTTTATAAACATGAATGAACCCTTAACTGGTTTCTCTTTAGAATTGGCAGTCAGGCTGGGTGTCAGTGAAAAACAGCTGGAAGATCTAAGGACAGAAAACACGGGTAACACTCTGAACATTTAAAACTAACTGTAAATTAAGAATTAATTAACCCTGAAATTATTATCAAGCACTGAATAGTTTGGTGTTGAGTCAAAGTTTTTAGCTAAAAAGAAAAAGAGAAACATTTAGTGATTTTTCAAATATAAATTGTGGAGGACCCAGCATGGTTCCCTGAGGAACTCCTTTACAATCCCAAATGAACCCTGAACTGTTTTCTCTTTAGAGTTTGAGGTCAGACTGAGTGTCAGTGAGAATCAGCTGGAGGATCTGAAGACAGAAAACACAGGTAACACTCTAAATATTTAAAACTGTTTGTATTAAAATGTACACTGAACAAAATGACAAAAAGTGAAAAGTAAACTTTTTTTCTAGTTCAAACAGTGCATGTAGTGATTCTTCAAACTGAAAATGTGGCGGTTTCAGCAAGGTTTCCTTAGGAACTCCTTTATCACTCTGATGGTTCTTGTGGGAACCTTTATGATCAAACTGTAATCACACTCAGTGGCCACTTTATTGTGTACACCTGTAGAATTTCATTCAGTCCAGTTTAACAGCACCACTAAGTATGTATAGTTGAATTAACAACTCTTGGAATGTTGTAACAAAAATGAACATAAATAAACAAAAATAAACATGACTGAACCCTGAATTGTTTCCAATTTAGAGTTAGAGGTCAAACTGAGTGTCGATGAGAAACAGCTGGAAGATCTGCAGAGAGAAAACACAGGTAAATGATAGAAACTGGTGTAAAAAGATTTGGATATTGTTAAATTGTTTGACTTCAAGAGACACATGTAGAGATTCTTCTGACTGTAACTAATATGGCTATTTTTTTAGAAAACTATTTAATTGAATTACTGACCAACAGGTGTCTCTGCCCACTTCCTTTACTTCTGCTTTATGTTGTTACATGTGCAACTACAGTGCACTGTGAAACAAAGAAACGTCCCCAGTTGTATGTTTGTGATTTATTTTGTGTTTTCAGTTCATTCTGTTCAGCTTTCCCTGATGGAGTCCAGACTGACAGCCAGTCACAACAACAGTACAGGTACAGTTATATTTATATTAACATTTATTAGTATGTATCTGATCTGGACTTTACTGAAGAATTAAAATCCAGACTCAGTAAATTTATAAATAAATAAAAATGTTTTTTGATCAGCTCTGGAGGTCGGCCTAAAATCCACTGAGACACAGCTAAAACAACTGGAGAATCACAGTGCAGGTAACACAATCAATTCTTAGTTATCACCTTTAATTAATCATTAATTTAACCTTTAAGTTAAACAAAAATGGTTACCTGTTCAGCTCTTGAGGTCAGACTGAGCGTCAATGAGAAACAACTGGAAGATCTGAAGACAGACAACACAGGTAACACTCTGAACATTTAAAACTAACTGTACGTTGATACTAATGTGTTATTATATATACATTAATTAACCATGAAATTAATATAACGTGTAAATTTGTTAAATAGTATAAGAAAGACATTCAGGGATTTTTTCAGACTGAAACTAAGGAGGATCCAACATGGTTCCCTGAGGAACTCCTTTACAAACACATTAACCCTGAACTGTTTTGTCTTTAGAGTTGGAGGCCAGACTTAATGTCAGTGAGAAACAGCTGAAAGATCTGAAGACAGAAAACACAGGTAACACTCTGAACTAACTTAATACTAATGTGTTATATAAATAAATGAATTAACTAACCATGAAATAATTATAAAGTGCTAACTAGTTGTGTGTAGATTAACAGTTTTTAGCTAAAAAGAAAAACATTTAGTGATTTTCTTTAGACTAAAACTGGAGGATCCAATATGGTTCCCTGAGGCACTCCTTTATGAACATAAATGAATCCTGAACTGTTTTCTTTTTAGAGTTGGAGGTCAGACTGATTGTCAGTGAGAAACAACTGGAAGATCTGAAGACAGAAAACACAGGTAACACTCTGAATATTTAAAACTAGATGGTGGGTAATAAATCTTATCAGATTAAAAAGAAAGTGAAAAGTAAACTTTTTTTAGTCAGACAGTACTTGTAGTGATTCTTCAAACAAAAACTGTGAAGGATCCACGAAGGTTCCCTGAGGAACTCCTTTGTCATTTTGATGGTTCTTGTAGGAACATTTATGATAGATCTGTCACTACAGGTACAGTTATGTTTATGTTAATGTTTTTATTAATATGTATGTATCTAATCTGGACTTAACTAAAGACGTTCAATCCAGACACAGTAAATTTATGAATAAATAAAAATGTTTTTTGATCAGCTTTGGAGGTCAGACTGAGATCCACCGAGACACAGCTGCAACAGCTGGAGAATCACAGTGCAGGTAACATCATCATCTTTTCATCATTACCTTTGTGATATCATTAATTAAACCTTTGAAATCAAATGTGAACGATTTCCTGTTCAGCCCTGGAGGTCAGACTGGGCGACAGTGAGAAACAACTGGAAGATCTGAAGGCAGAAGACACAGGTAAATGATAGAAATGCCTCCAGGGGGCACTGTGACACACAGAAAAGTCCAAAAGGTCAGAAGTTGTTTGTTTCTGATTTATTTTGTTTTCAGTTCAGTCTGCTCAACTTTCCTTGATGAAGTCCAGACTGGCAGACAGTCACAACAACACTACAGGTACAGTTATGTTTATGTTAATGTTTGTATTAATATGTATGTATCTAATCTAGACTTAACTAAAGATGTTTAATCCAGACACAGTAAATTTATGAATAAATAAAAATGTTTTTTGATCAGCTTTGGAGGTCAGACTGAGATCCACTGAGACACAGCTGCAACAGCTGGAGAATCACAGTGCAGGTAACGTCATCATCTTTTCATCATTATTATTATTTGTGATATCATTAATTAAACCTTTGAAATCAAATGTGAACGATTTCCTGTTCAGCTCTGGAGGTCAGACTGGGCGACAGTGAGAAACAACTGGAATATCTGAAGACAGAAGACACAGGTAAAACTCTGAACTTGAAAAACTAACTGAAGATTAATACTAATGTATTATTATACATAAATAAATTCATATAAGTTGACAAAGGGTTTGGAGTTGAGTCAAAGTTTACAACTGGAAAGAAAAAAAGAAACATTAAGTAAATTTTCAAACTGAAACACTGGGGGATCCAGTAAGGTTCCCTGAGGAACTCCGTCATTACCCTAATGGTCCTTGTAGAAACCTTTATGACATTTTCATTGATAGAAATTATATACTTTATCTGTTTCTATTACAGATCATTAAACTTTCTTTTTTATATTTTACCGTAGATTTTTGTTTGTTTTTTTTCTCATTTATTGTGTTTTCAGCTCAGTCTGTCCAACTTTCCTTGATGCAATCCAGACTGACAGACAGCCACAACAACACTGCAGGTAGGGTAACATTTATGTTAATTTTTTTAATCAACAATTATCTTTCTGATCTGGAGATTTTAAATCCAGACTAACTATATAAATGAATATAATCTGATTGTTGATTAGCTTTGGAGGTCAGACTAAGATCCACTGAGACACAGCTGGAGAATCACAGTGCAGGTAGCATCATCATCTTTTCATCATTACCTTTATGAGATAATAAATTTAACCTTTAAAATTTAACATGAACAATTTCCTGTTCAGCTCTGGAGGTCAGACTGAGCAACAGTGAGAAACAACTGGAAGATCTGAAGACAGAAAACACAGGTAACACTCAAACATTTGAAACTAACTGTAAATTAATACTTATGTATTATTACATATAAATGAATTAGCTACCCATGAAATTGTTATAAAGTGATAACGAGTTGGGAGTTAAGTCAAATCCAACATTGTTCCCTGAGGAACTCCTTTATAAACATGAATGAACCCTGATAGTTCATGTAGAATCGAAATATATGAGGATTCTACACAGACCCTGCTGATCCTCTGAGACAAGTAATAAATGGAAATAAAAACATTTAAATAGTATTTACATTATTTAAGTAAATACAATAAATATTATTATAACATTTTATAGAAACATGTGTTTGTGCTGATTCTGTGTTTTCAGTTCAGTCTGTCCAGCTGTCCTTAATGAAGTCCAGACTGAAAGACAGCCACAACAACACTACAGGTAGAGTTATATTTTTTTAGATTTGTCTGTTTGATCTGGACTTTACTGAAGAGTTGAATCTTAGTAAAACTCCAAATGAAAACTGTTATGTTGATCAGCTCTGGAGGTCAGACTGAGATCCACTGAGACACAGCTGGAACAGCTGGAGGATCACACTGCAGGTAACATCACCAACTCTTCAATGTAAGTTTGTGTTTTATTAAATAACCGTCTTGCTTTGTTGAGCTTCAGTTGACTGATTTACCTGCTTACTTCTTCTCATGTTTGGTAATTATTTAATTATAAAACCATCAACTCCCTGATGTTTTTAACACCTAACAAGGTCCCAGTCAGGTTCTCCCAATATGACAGTTTGAGGGTTTAAAATGAAATCTTACATTTGACAGGAATTCAGTGTCATGAAGTCAGCACTCTTGTGATAAGAGAACACTGGGAAGTCTAAAGCTCCATTCTGACTTATTAGACTTACTCATATCACAGTCTGTAATAGGCATAATCATTCAGCTAGCAAGTAACGAAAGAGCTAAAGTACTTATAAAAGTACCAATTAATTCACAGGCAGGTAGTACAGATTGTTTCTCTCCGATTATAAATGATGATTTTGACGTTTACGGCGAGCCTTCACCCTCAGACTGCTTTAATAAAAATTACAGAGGACCCGAGGAGGTTCCCTGAGGAACACCATAAATGATTTTGAGACCCTCCTCTCCTTAAAGTAACTGTTTCTGTTTGGATTTAAGAGGAACGTTTGCTGATCAGCAGGTTATTAAAGTAAAATGTATTTAATAAACGGTTAAAAACTGATTTCAGTCCATGCAGCCAAGCTGTCAGCTGTCAGTCTGAGACTGGATGTCACTGAGGGACAGGTGGACAGATTGAGGACAGAAAACACAGGTGACCTCAGTTACATCATGTAAATAAATCAGCTGTTTGTTTTTTCAGATGTTTTAGTTTAATGTGATGTTTTCTGTTTCAGACAGACTGACAGCAGCTGAGAGAAACACTGAAGGTAACGTCATGTCTTTATTTTAATATATA